CGGCCTGAGTGCCAGCCTGTCGGCCTGCACGCTGTTTTCCGAGGTACCTCGGCAGCTCTCCGGCGCTCGGCCGAGGCCCCGGGCCGCCACGAGATGACCCTTTCTGCCTGCGGTCGTGTAACTCCCCCAGGGTGGCTACCGGGGTTACGGTGGCTTCCGTGCCTGCTCTGTGGCCTGGAGGAGACTGCATCAGGATGGGGCTGGGGAACGCATAGAACTTTCCGATGTTTGTTTTTTTTTTCTTTCAGAGTTAGGCATTTAGAGGCTGGAGAGGAGCTTCCGCTCCTGAGGCCGGGATTCTGGGTGGGAGTTGGGGCGGCCTGGGGTGGGTACACTTTGGGATCAGCTCTGGTGGGAGAGTGGTCTAGTCTTGCTCTGAAAGGCCTTGGGCAGCGCTGTCCTCAGGCGATGTGAGGGTGCCTGAGGTGCCAACCTGTGTTGCAGGGGGCGGTGGAGCCCATGCAGATTGACGTCGACCCACAGGAGGATCCCCAGAATGCGCCTGATGTCAACTACGTGGTGGAGAACCCCACCCTGGTATGGGTCCCAGTGGGCAGACTGGATGTCTTGGTCTGGCTGGGAGTCCAGGCTAGAATCCGAACTGTAGTCTGTACCCTAGCGACTGATGCCCCTCAGCGACCTCTCTGGTCATGTTTCTGTGAGCCTGAACCTTTGGGGTTTCCTTCATTGGCTCACATTGGGTTCTCGGCCCAGCTTGAGACCCTTACCTGCTCATGTGGGTTGCCCTGCTTGTTGAATGCCACTTGATGACAGATCTTCTGGGGGCCAACCTATTCATTGCTGTTTTCTCCTTGCTAAGCCCAACACCCAGCGCTTACAAGTACATGTCCCTTGCCCCTCCTGGTGCAGTGCTCTACTCCGGAGACCCCCAGCCCGCCTCAGTGCTCTCTCAACACCTGGGACAGTGGTTGTTCTGGTGCCCCCACGTCCTCACCTCCCAGGCACGGGTGAAGATTTGGCATCTTTGTCGTGATGTGAGTTCCTGCCTTGTGCACCCTGCCTGATCCTCTTTGTTGTCCTCTATCCCTACGCCAGGACCTGGAGCAGTACGCGGCCAGCTATAGCGGCCTGATGCGCATTGAGCGGCTACAGTTCATTGCTGACCACTGCCCACCACTGCGGGTGGAGGCCCTAAAGATGGCCCTCTCCTTCGTGCAGAGGACCTTCAACGTGGACATGTACGAGGAGATCCACCGCAAGCTCTCGGAGGCCACCCGGTAAGGCCAGGTGGGGCCTTGGGGGCAAATGTCAGGGCTGGGTGTGGTGTGTGCCTCTCGGAACCAGCCGTGGAACCCATCCTGCACTCTGCCACGGTCAGCATCCAGCAGCACTTTGGCACATGGCAAGAAATGCACTCCCTTCCCTGGTGAGAGGTCACCATCGTGATGGCCAGGTCTTCCCTTAGGGAGCTGCAAAATGCACCGGATGCCATCCCTGAAAGTGGTGTCGAGCCCCCGCCTCTGGACACGGCCTGGGTAGAAGCCACACGGAAGAAGGCTCTACTGAAGCTGGAGAAGCTGGATACAGACCTGAAGAACTACAAGGGCAACTCCATCAAGGAGAGCATCAGGTGCTGGCTCGTCCAGAGCGAGGGAGGTGGGCAGCTGGGCCTGGCTGGTCCCGATCAGTGACCACTGACTCTCACACCTGTAGGCGCGGCCATGATGACCTGGGTGACCACTACCTAGACTGTGGGGACCTCAGCAATGCTCTCAAGTGTTACTCTCGGGCCCGAGACTACTGCACTAGCGCCAAGCACGTCATCAACATGTGCCTCAATGTCATCAAGGTGGGCCCTGTTGGGAGGGTGCTGAGGTGGCGCTCAGGCTGTCTCACCTCTCACCCTACCCACTTGGCCACCAGGTCAGTGTCTACTTGCAAAATTGGTCTCATGTGCTGAGCTATGTCAGTAAGGCTGAATCAACCCCAGAGATTGCCGAGGTATGTACGATCTACCTCCTCCAAGACCCTGGTTTGGGGTCCACCCCAGCTTCCTTCTCCCCCCAAGTCTGCCCTTGTTCCCTCTTAGGCTGGGGCTGGGTACTGGGCATTGTGCTTCAGTCATGATGATGGTGAGGGTGGGAGGATCTCACGTATGTGGCCTTCTCCTGCAGCAGCGTGGAGAGCGGGACAGCCAGACCCAAGCCATTCTCACCAAGCTTAAGTGTGCTGCAGGTGAGGCGTCCCACCATGACATGTGCTGTCCCCTAAGCCCTTGGAGCCCTGGGGCAAAACCTGGCCCCATGTAACAGCGAGAACCCCTGGCAGGCTGCAGGGTGTCCTTGATGCAGTTGCCCACCTACACAGGTGTAGGTGACTCCCACTCTCGCACAGGGCAGGCTCCCCATTGTGGGACTGGGAAGGCCCTCCTCTGAGCTGGGCTGTCCCTCGAGGGCATGGTAGCAGCAGTGTCAGACCCCCTTTGGCTCCTGACTTCAGAGTATGTTCAGAATTCTTGGGGGCTGTCACTTGTACTTCACAGCTCGAATTTCTGTCCCAAGGGGCCAGGGATTTAGCTCAGTGGTGCTGCACCTGCCTTGCAAGTACAAGGTCCAGAGTTCAGTCCTTGGTTACCCAGGAGGGAAAAAGAATTTGTGTCCCAGGAAAGCAGTCCTGGGGGCAGGAGAGGTCAGTGGGGCACCTGCTGGTGACCATCCCCTTCTTGGCCCATAAGGTGCCAGCACTTTCCCCATCCCTCTCTCCTGGGTCCCCTCTAGGCTTGGCCGAGCTGGCCGCACGCAAGTACAAGCAGGCGGCCAAGTGCTTCCTGCTGGCCTCATTTGATCACTGTGACTTCCCTGAGGTAAGGGGGACTGGGTCTGGGAAGAGTCCAGCGAGAGCTTGTGGGCTGGGCCCTTTCAGTCTCCACTGAATTTGGGGTCTGGTGCATTCTGAGAGTGGGACAGGGGTGGCTGGCTGGCCCAGTGAGTCCTCGTGGTCCCAATTTACAACTCACCTCCCTCTTTGCCCCTCAGCTGCTTTCCCCCAGCAATGTGGCCATCTATGGTGGCCTGTGTGCTTTGGCCACCTTTGACCGGCAGGAGCTACAGCGCAATGTCATCTCCAGCAGGTGACTGGGGGTGAGGGGGACTTCCCCCAGCCTGGTGCCCCTTCCTGGGACCCAGGGTCCTGCTGGCCCTTTAGGGCAGGGAGAGCAGGCAGAGGTGTGGGGCTGAGTGTCCTGGCATTTGCAGTTCCTTCAAGTTATTCCTGGAGCTGGAGCCTCAGGTCCGAGACATCATCTTCAAATTCTACGAGTCCAAGTATGCGTCGTGCCTGAAAATGCTGGATGAGATGAAGGTGGGAGCGAGGGCATGGCCACGTGGAGGCCAGCTGGGCACCCACCCAGGAGGCCCCTGACCAGCTCTCCTCTCCAGGACAACCTGCTCTTGGACATGTACCTGGCTCCCCACGTCAGGACCCTGTACACCCAGATTCGCAACCATGCCCTTATCCAGGTAAGTGTGGGGCAGAGGCTGGGCAGGGTGCAGACGCACCCAGGAGTGGCAGGCAGCTGGCGGCCCCTCCACTCTGCAGTATTTCAGCCCCTACGTGTCCGCTGACATGCACAAGATGGCTGCAGCCTTCAACACCACTGTGGCGGCGCTGGAGGATGAGCTGACACAGCTCATCCTGGAGGGACTCATTAACGCACGCATTGACTCACACAGCAAGGTGGCTGGGGTAAGGCGGGCAAGGGTGGGGTAGCACTGCTGGGCCCTGCTGAGCCCACGCCTGCACCTGCACCTATACAGATCCTGTATGCGAGGGATGTCGATCAGCGCAGCACCACCTTTGAGAAGTCCCTGCTGATGGGCAAGGAGTTCCAGCGCCGGGCCAAGGCTATGATCCTGAGGGCAGCCGTGCTGCGCAACCAGATCCATGTCAAGGTGAGTGCCTGGGGTTCGGGGCGGAGGGCAGCAGCTGTACAGCCTGTGACTGAACTCCTTCTTGTCCACTACAGTCCCCTCCCAGAGAAGGGAGTCAAGGAGAGCTGACACCGGCCAACAGCCAGTCCCGTATGAGCACCAACATGTGAGGGGTGCATGCTTCTCCCTGCCCCCAGGCTGCCTACCTGCAGCCACTGGACACCAGCCCCCCACACCCCACACCTGTTTTGGGGTTGGGGAAGCAGGTGGGTCCCTATCTGAGGCTCTTGGGCTCTATTCCACATAGACTGCAGTGCCTGGCTCTGGTGGGTGCACGGGCCCGAGCCCCGCCCCTCCTGTCCTTGTGCTGTTGTTGGGTACAGGTGCGTTGCTGCCTCCCTGTCCATTAAAGAGCAGACTGACCATTGCCCGTGGCTCTGCTCCTTCCTGCTGTGATACACCAATCCCCTTGCTGCCTCTTTGTACCCTGGCCCACTAGGGCCTCTCCTGGACTTTGCTGGGGAGGCAGGCAGAGACCTGAACTCATGTTGTGGCTGGCCCAGAAAAGCAGTTTCTAGGGTTGGGGTCCCGGAGGGGCTGGTGGCACTTGTTCTCTGTACGTGCACCTTTGCAATGATTTATTGTCTTGAAAACACAAGTGTGAGGACAGGGCAGGTCCAGCTCAGGCCTGCCCCCAGTGCAGCACTGCAGGCCCCAGCACAGGCCAGGGAGGACATCACGCGTCCCTTGTGTCAGATAGCAGGAGGTTCCCTGAGTAAAGGTATGTTCTTAGTGCGAAATATCCAGGCTTCAGCAGTCCTGGGTTTGGGTGGCTCCTGCCGGTGCCTCAGGCCAGGGCACTGCCCAGGACTTCAGAGAAGGCGCCCGGTGCTCCAGACCCCACCTGTGGAGGTTCCTGCCGCCTGGGCTGGGTCCCATTCCAGGCCAGAGACTTCTCTAGCTTGGTTTTAAAAAGCAATCCGTGACCTGGCAGAGACCATGCAAGAGGGGAACAGGTCAGGAAGCAGGAAGGTGCCTGCAGGAGGTGGCAGGGCTGTGGCGCAGTCCTCTCACCTGGGCAGTCTGCTGTTTCCTTGAAGGCACGCTTCTTGCAGCAGCCGCGGCACAGGTTGAACACACACCTGTTGCCCTGGCCCAGGAGAGCTGGTGAGCCTCAGGCCGATGCCTGCCCAGGCCTGGGCTGGCCATCTGGAAACTTTGGTCAAATGCCCAAGGCCCAGACACAGCCCCAGAAATCGCAGTATGGCAAGGCACTGTCCCCTGGTCCGGGCCCTCCCCCTTTGCTGAACTCAGCCATTGCACTCCAGGCTGGGCAGAGGGTAGAAAAGCTGTTTCTGCTCTGGGAGGATTAGATCAAAGGCGAGGGGCTGCCCAAGGCTATGTCCTAGCCAGGCACAGACCAGATGCAGAGCAGTGAGGGAGTCCTAGAAGGGTGTCAGTGGGGCTGCCAAGCCCACCTGTTGGGGAATTGAAACCAGGGCAATACCCAGCAGAAGGACCAACTCACCTTTGGGTTTCCGCACTGGTCACACTTTGCGTATTTTGCTGCAGAATGAACAAAGGTGCTGGCTCAATGAGGTGTGTCAGATGGGCCAAAGCAGCCAACCGTGGCTATCATCCAGCTCATCCACAAAGCTCACTGGCCAACAGCAGGCCCAGCAGGCTGGGGAGGGCAGAGGATGTGGGCTAGCCATGTCTGCTTTTCCCTTGGACAAGAGATGGGTGGCGGGACATGGTGGGTCCAGGTGGACTGGCCTGCCCACCCTCCAAAAGAAATGCCAGCCCAAACAGTACTTTCTGTGGGGGCTCAGGGCAGGTAGGGACAGCCTGAGCTGTGTAAGTCTGGGAACTCTTCTCCCCAAACTTGTAAAGCTATCTGACAGCTGTTCCCAGCAGTTCCTACCAGCCTGCCTGGTGCTGGGCAGGCAACCAGACCTGAAAACCTGTGTGGGCTGGCTCAGGATGCTGAGGGCCCCAGGACTCTGCCCTCATGCCAGCATGAGTCCCAAGGATGTGTGGAAAGCTGAGTGATCTGGGGTCTGCTTGAGAGTGGGGAGCAGGCTGGGGATTTAGCTCAGTGGTTCCGCTGCCATCTGCCTCATAAGCACAAGGTCCCGAGTTCGATCCCCAGTACAAAAAAAAAA